AAAAAAAAAACCAGAGGCTCCGCAATACGATATTATCGCAATACATACATCACGGTACAATATTATTACTATTTCAAACTTAGCGATGTGCTACGTGTTCAACAGCTTTAATGAATAAAGAAAGAAGTTGGTTTTTATTGCAGCAAAATGTATCTAGTAAACAGAAAAGGCAAGTGATTATATGCCTTAGTTTAATTTGTATTTGTCATTTCAATTATTTATCTAATTTTTAAAAAATCGATATGATATTGTCACACAAAAATATTGTGATACGATGTGATTTTTCCCCTTCCCTAATATTTTGTGGAAAAGACCGACCCCACGTCCAAAACAAGGGACTTGTTATACATATATATACATATATACGTATGTATGTATAAAAAATATATAATAATTACATTTCTGAGAAAAAAATCCTGATTACTATCGTGTAAAAACTAAAAAATAAAATGACATAAAATTAAAAATGAAAAAAAACGGAGGCTCTGCGATACGATACATACGTCATGATACGATATTATTATGATTTTAAACTTGTTGCGAGGTGCTACATGTTCAGCAGTTTCAATGAATAAATAAAGAGGTTGGTTTTTATTGCAGCTAAATGTATCTAGTAAACGGAAAAGGCAAGTGACTATATTATTCTAGTAGGCTACCAAATGTTTAATTTGTTTATGTCATATCAATTATTTATCTAATTTTGAAGTAATCAATATAATACTGCCACACAAAAATATACACCCCAACTTATTAAGATGGTGCAGGACATTATATATAAGGTGTAAGGAGGTGACATAATATCACATAATGTGTAGTTCAGCAGTGTAACGCAGGATAATGTGTAATATATGGGATCTAATTTAATTCAACTTGCTAGCGTTAGCTTGGTAGCCCCGCATGCTAATATTGACTAACAACTGTTGCTAGCTAATGTGGCCTCACGAGCTGCACCACAATGTGCTCCATTAATGACCTGGCATGTTTAAATATATTCATAACACACAATTAGCTGCATGTTTGTAGCTTGTGGAAGAAGCTAAGTGGCTAATGCTAACCGACAGTTCCTAGTAACGTTATGGCTAGCTGTCAGGCCAGGGAAGTTGTCATGCTAAGCTAATGCTAACTAGCCGCATAGCTACTGAAGGCTCTCCCGCACCGCACGACCGCAAAAAGCGACCATTAAGCGAGGTAGTGAGAGGTACGTAGCGGGCAGGTTCATCGTTAGCATCTTACCTGGTGGTCGGTTCGGTTTGTGGTCACTTTCTCCTCCACAGGGCCGGTGACAGGAGCCCCGGGCCCCGCGGAGAGCCGCTGGAGGAAGCAGAAGTTTGGCAGTCCGCTCCCAACTTCACTCGAGTCCTGCTGGGCCACGACGACGAGGCCCGACGGTTGTCCGTTCAGCCCGCGGATCTTTCCAGGCAGCAAAATGACACGACGACGGTTTGTCCGACAGAGTATCTCCGTGTCCGCGCGGGAATCAAAAAGCAAAGTTAACCGACAGCTTTCATTTTGTTGCACTTTCCAGGCTGCTGACGGGAGCTCCGCTCGCTGCCTCGGATGGTTAAGCTAACGGGTAGCGAACTAACGGCTAGCGGAAGTGAAGGGATTTCCCTGCCAAAATAAAAGCACAAATGTTTCTAATAGGGGAAAAAACACTACTACACAAGTCGTATTTCATACTGACAGTTCACAACCGGAAATCATAACTTTTATTCTGGGTTACTTGACCGGTCTTTAGCCCTCAACCTCGTTGGAAGAATCCAACAAAAACACAAGCTGTGATGTCACAGACATGTATTGGCTTCCTGTCAAATAAATACATCTGATAACAGCTGTGCGGAAATATAATCTGGTTTCATCCAGTTAATGATCCTGATTTATTCTCTGTTACTCCACACGAGCCTCCAGTAGCTATAATAAATTCTTAAGGAAAGGTCTCCGTCACCCTTAAAGGGTAACTTAAGTATTTCTCAACTTGGACCCAGTTTTCCCACTTATCTGTGTCTAAGTGACGAACGGGAACAAGTTTTTAAACTGGTCCAGTGTTGAGCAAGACGGCTGCAGTAGGCAGCAGCTAATCAGGCTGCAGTGTAACCAAGTGGGGCAATTGTGCAACCTCAATTTACATCCGCTTAAAGTGTGTTGCTGACAGGCTCAGATTATTATTACAGATAGGACAAACATTTGTGTTACAGAGTAAGATCCATTTTGGATGTTAAAAACAGCCCTGACATCACCATCACCAAACCCACAAGACTCCATGTAAAAAAGCGGTAATTTTAACGTGGGTAGAGGCAGCATGTTGTCACATCTAACTGGGTGATTAAAGGTTTAATATCAACCAAACCAGAGCTGGTGATTGTTGGAACAGTAGAAAGATGAACAGAGATGATTTCTGTGAGTTTTATTTTGTGTTTGTCAACTTTATATAAAGCAGGTTTTACAGGGATAAAATTACTGATTTTTTAAATGGAGTCTGGTGGGTTTGGTGACGGTGATTTCAGGGCTGTTTCTGGTCAAACAAAAAGGTCTATCTGTGTAGGGATCCTCTCCATAATGCTGTCTGACACTGATAGTAACAACCTGAGCCTGTCAGCGACAACAACAAACACAGTTTAGTGGACGCACATTGAGGGTGCACAATTGCCCCATTTGATTATACTTAGACACAAATATGGGTCTCTTAGCCCTCCTCCAGTCCACCTACCAGCCCCGACTGAGAGTCCCGGTGCCATCATTTACCTGCAAAACTGTGGTGGATCTGAGGAGGTCAAAGGCGCCGGTGACCCCTGTTTCCATCCCTGGGGTCAGTGTGGACATTGTGAAGGACTACAGGTACCTGGGAGTGCATGTGGACAATGAACTGAAGCCCTCTACAAGAAGGGCCAGAGCCATCTTTGTTTCTGAGAAGGCTGAGGTCAGGAGCACTCTCAGTGACAGACTCAGTCCCCCATGATGCACCACAGAGCGCAACAGGAAGTGGTTCCTACATTACATTTATAGTTCATAAGTATACATTGAGTGCAATAATTCATCTGCGCAATATTTCTCTGTATACGACTTTATCATGCACATAACTGTACGTATTCCATATGTTTACTTTTATTCTATTCTTGTTTATTATATCAAAGTATATATTGTAGTTAAATTTCACACTTATAGCCTCAAAATATATCAAAAAATATATATTTTATTTTTAATAATTTAATATCTTAAGTACCAGTGATAAACATTGTAGCATAATGCACATTTTCTTTTTACTTTTTATTTTAACATACATTTCTTTTTTTAAAAAATGTATTTTATTGCTTTTATATTTACATACTGATTATCTATCTATCTATTCTTTACATCAGAGCAACTGTAACGAATCATAATTTCCACTCGGGGATCAATAAAGTATTTCTGATTCTGATTCTGACTCTTAGATTGTTCTGCATAAAACAATTAACTGTGTAAAATTGTAAATAAGTGTACCCTTATTCCTGAATGACCGCTTTTATTTTGTTTTTTATTTCATGTCTGTTTTAACCCTTCATTATCATTTATTGATGCTTTGCACTTTAGCTCAGCTATAGTAATATTATATAATATGATCTGTATTTAAATGTCATATGATGTGCCTTTTTGACTGTAAATACGATTCTTGACAAATGATAAAGATTTTGTATTCTATAAAATTATACACTTAATATATCCAACAAATCTTTTTTTAATACAGTAATAATAATAATAATAATTTATTATTATTATTACTATTATTATTATTATCATATTTTCATTATTATCATTAACCTTATTATTATTATTTTATTGTATTTTTTACCGTTCAGTTCTAGGGGAAAAAAAGTAAAACTTCCGGAAGTGACAGAGAATTTCTTTTTTATTTAGAATTTAAAATAACAAAATTAATTAGATATCAAAGAGCACTATTAGCTGGAGTATCATAATAACAAAAAATAACTCTGACGTTTAAAAGAAGTGAGATTCCAGTTGCGATATCGAAACATTCTTATTTTGACAGAAACCACCAGCATACGTCACTTCCCATCACTTCCGGTTCGGTTGTATTCCATAACAGAGCTGCGACTGGACGCTAACGTTAGCTGCACCTATTGTCGGGATATTTTAACCACAGAAACAGAGGGGAAACATGTCGGACACGGTGAGACACAACCTGTAAAGACTTTTTATTCTCCACAGTCTGGAGGAAACGCAACAGGAGGCTCGGCGGTGGTTTTAATGGCGGCTGCCTCGTTTGTGATAATTGAACATGCTAACTGTTAGCTCGCTTAGCTTCAGGCCCAGAGCTCACAGCTTGCTTATATAGCTGCTTAGCTTCGCGGCTAGCTTTGGTTTTACTTCATATCCAGAGCTGAGCAGCGGTACACACATCATGTTGAAACCGAAACACACACATCAGGAGTATTAGTGTTGTATCAGCGATATTGAGCCCCGGGCCTGTTCTCTAATGTGTGTGTGAGTGTGTGAGGCGTTTACATGTTGTATGACGCTTGTATGTTGTTTATGATTATTAGGAGACGAAACCGTCCAGCGGAGACGGAGGGGACAAGAAGGACGGAGAGTACATCAAGTTAAAAGTGATCGGGCAGGTGTGTATGGGTGATGGAGGGGTGAATATGAAGCCATGAACATCAGCTATTGATGTCCATTCACATTTTGGTGCTTACCTGGGCCATGAAGAGATTAAAATATAATTAATCCAAGTGAATACATTCCCATTAATGCAGTTTGGGTAGTTATATGATTATATGATGTAACACAAGCTTAAGAAGTTCATCTTTAACCAGTGTAAGTAAGTCAAATAAATGAAACTAAAGTACTTGAAACTGTATTTTACAGCATAATTGCCAGCGAGAGATCAGGTTTTTATTGCATCAATAATGATAATAAACTTTGTGTATAGCGCAGTCACAAGATAGTAACAAATAACAACATTGAACGTAGGGTGAGACGAGGCAAAACAGAGTGTGTAATAAAAGGTGTACTGTAAAAACACCTCCCTGAGAGTTTGCTAACCTGAGTTGCACAGCTGCGAGGAAACTATGGAAAACACCGGGTTTCCTTTTGCAACGAGGGTTATGAGGGTTCGACCTGAGGAGCGCAGACATGTAGGGCTTTAAAAGTTATAAGTAAAGGGTTAAAATCTGTTTTATACCTAACAGGGTTAGCGTCCCAGGGGTGGCAGTGATGTGGTCTTGTCTCTTGGGATTTGTCAAAAGTGTGGCAGCTGAGTTTTGAGCGAGCCACATCAGACAGGAAGTGGCCTTTTGGTTGAGCCCAGAATCTAGATGTGACAAGATGAAAGCATGGATGACTTCTTCAAGGTCCACTTGAGATAAAAAAATGTTTTACTTTTGCGGTGTTTCTAATTTGAAGAAAGCAAGATTGAACAATGTTGGTTATTTGTGTGTTGAAACAGAACTCAGAGTCAAAGGTGACGCTCACATTGCGGGGACAGGTTCCCAGAGTTCTTTCTTAAGTCACAGGTCAGGTTTTGGGGTCCAAAAAAGGACCTCAGATTTGAACTCATTGAGCCGGAGGAAGTTTTGTGACATCCAGCACTTAATATCTGAGAGGCAAGACATAACATTCAAGAGACTGTCAGGGTTACAACCAGTCAGTGGAACATAAATATTATACCTACAGATCATCTGACCCAGAGGAAGCATATAAAGAGAAAACAGGAGAGGATCCAGCACTGACCCCTGAGGAACACCACAGGACAGGAGGGCGGGGGATAAGGGATATTCTCCCATTACAACAGAGAACGTTTTAGCAAAACCAGGCAAGAGCACTGTCCTTAATCCTTAAACATAGTTTTTAGGGTGGTTATAAGGACACCGGGTTCGACCATATCAGCTCGTATGAACTCCGATCAAACCAAATTAAAGTTGAACAAGCCCTGAATTTGGCGGCAAGCTGGGTACGAAATCCTGATTGATGTTGATTGGGAGGCAACAGACTTTTCTACTTTCTACAACTCGCTTGTTGTTCCTTTCTTTTAACGTCCCACAGCAATAATGACGTTGTTTTGTAATCGACAAAAAAATCATCACTTTCTCTCTCCGCCCACAGGACAGCAGTGAAATCCACTTTAAGGTCAAAATGACGACACATCTGAAGAAGCTGAAGGAGTCTTACAGCCAGAGACAGGTATGAGGAAAGAGGGAAATAACCGTCAGCCACTTCCTGTTATGAAATCACACAAGTTTGATTCACCTTGATAAATTTGAATGACTTTAAAGTCAAGATTTCGCTTCTGGGGATTCCCGGGCTAACTCTTGATGAAGAGCACTAGAGACCATTATTCCAGATTACATTGAGTTGTGTGTTTTTTTTTTTTCAGGGTGTTCCAGCAAGCACGCTAAGGTTTCTGTTTGAAGGACAGAGAATCGCAGACAACCAAACTCCGAAAGAGGTGAACTTGTGTCTCCTGACTTGAGCATCCCTTCGCCAATATTGTGAATAATCTGGACAAGTACACCAACTAGTTTACTTTTAAAGGAATAAAAAACATATTAAAGTGTGACACTAAAACACAT